TATATATATATATATATATATATGAATTTTGAATATTTATATGTACTTAATTATCTTGATTATTGACTGAAAAAATATCTTATAAAGTTAATCATGAGAGCGTAGAACAGCGTCCTGATCCGAATAGTTAGGTCGAAGCCCCGCTACACCGTACGAAGTGGGACAGGTCGTGGCGGGATCGCAAAATAGCAAAAGAAGGATCGTGATCCCGTGCGCAGGAACAGGGCTGATTGTGAATCTTCACGATTCAAAGCTATTTCATGCTCCTTCTACACTTCTTTTAGAAAGGCTTTTTTTATGGATTCTTCTTACCTCTCCACTCTCCTTCCTCTTGTGTAGAATTATGAGGCTATAAATAGTTGTCCCCAATGTATGTGGGGGACAAGTTCAGATTTTGTTGACTATAGCTCTCCTATGTAAAGTTCATTTCCCGTTTGTGGGTTGTATCCGAAGATATGGTGGTGCATTGGTTGTATCCTTCTTTGATGTGGTGATTGTATCATTCCCTTCTACCTTCTCCAAACCTTCTCCTCTCCGCTCCTCAACCGCTAAACTCTCCCTCCGTCACCCTGACACCAAACCATTCCCCGCCCTAGACATTAATATTGTTGTCCCGTCTTCCTAACTCTGTTTGAGCTCCTCCCAACCACCCCATTACCACTGTCAACAACCCAAAACCCTTCCCACTTGTTGTCCCTATAATTTCGCATATTCCCCTCGCTGCCACCAACACAATGGGGCATCACCACCCCCCTTAGCCATCCCAACCCAACTCGCCGATCCCCAACACCCATTGGAGTATAATTAGAAGTGTTTACTTATGTTATTTGTATGCTTGTGTTTTTATTTATGTTCGAGTCATGTTGTAATCTTATTTTAATATTAATGAAAGTTTTTTTTTTTTTTTTGTTTCCGTTATTTTTCTTACTAGTTCCGGTATCATTTGGTATTAGAGCTATCTCAACCATAGTTTTATCTTAGAGTTTCCCAGCATCTGCCCCTACCTAAGCCACCTCCACCCAAATTTTTCTTTTGATTCCCAACCCTAGCCATGCCACCACTAAGAGGTAAATCGGACTCGACCCGGGAAGAGATTCAATGAAAAATATGTCATCTACAACGGAGACTACCAGAGCTGGATGACGAAAACCAAGAAGAGGTTACTTTCGTCCATGATCAAGAGAGTCAAAGAGAAGACAGAGACGAATGGATGAATTTGTTCCATAGGGAAGATCACAATGACGAGGAATATCAACCACGTCTTTTTGGTATCCAATGCCAAAGGAGGCTGAGAAAAGAGACCCCTTATGGAGGTCAGGTGGACTATGCCATCAAGATGGACCTCCCAGAATTCGATGGAAGCATGAATCTCAATGAGTTTATTGACTGACTGCAATCAGTTGAACAGATTTTCGAATATAAAGATGTAGCAGAAAACAAACGGGTCAAGCTAGCTGTCATTAAACTGAAGAATGCTTCCTGTGTTGGGAAAATGTGTATAGGCAGAGGAAGAGGGAAGGCGGTGAAAAGATCATAAAATGGGAGAAGATGAAGAAAGTAATGTAATCTGATGAGATTAAAAAGTTTATTATGAAGAAAGCATTAGGTTTTTCTGTCGTCCAATAAAAGAAAATCCCCATAAATACAAATTAACAAAAAATATCCCTCAACACTTATCATCTGCTCACTAGATCTATTTTTATCAAGAGAATAATACGTATGGAATATATATGTATGTACAATATTATTGTACACTATATGTATAACAGTGTACATATTGTTATAGACGAAGCCTGCAGGTCACATCCAGACTTCGCACTTAATAATTTTTTTTCTTTTTATCAGAGGATGTTCATCAACACAAAATAATTTCTCATTCATAAGAATATATGGGATATTAAGCCAACTTTGTCATTTTTATCTATAGAACCTTTGCAATATAGAAAATAATCATAAATCTCAGACAGCTTTAGTCTTAGCAATGACTGACTGTGATTTATGGGGGAATGAAAGCTCCAATAAAAACTCTGAAAGCTCAGTATTTCTAATCAAGCTCTCACTTTTCTTAAACAGAAATGCTTCTTAATTATCAGTAATTAAGATCATTAAACAGTTAAAAACTGATAGAAAATAAATAAAAACAAATCTCCTTAAAGCCAACTGAACTGGTAGTACTCACACAAACTAATTAAAAAATAAAATAAAAATATGAAAAAGCCTTTATAATATAATATCTACCTTCTACCTCATCTGTCACCCTCTCCCAGAATATTCTATCAAAAAATAAAATTTAACTTATAATATATA